TAAAAAAAAAATTACCCATAACATTTAGGGAGATGAAAAATAGATGTTGGCCGATTCTCAGACCTACTCAATACGCTCAGAAAATTTCATGAGAATCGGTCAAGCCGTTTCGGAGGAGTATGGGAACGAAAACTGTGACACGAGAATTTTATATATAAGATTGTAATATTAATTCATACGTATGTTAGTCTATATAGTATTTATGACATGGGCCAATAGTAGCCTGCAATAAATAAATAATGAAAATTAAAATAAACATATTTTTATCCCAGAACAATCCGTACATAGCCATCTAGTCCCAATATAGGCAGAGCTTATGTTAAGCTACTAGTAAACTTATATAAATACTTAAATTGATATTTATTTGTAAATACATACATATACTATATGTACATAGAAAACACTCAGTCCAATACAAACAATAATACTCGTTTATTTTTAAAATGTTCAATATCTTGATTTTATGTTAATTAGTCACCGTGTGACAGATCTGAAGCGTCGCTTTAGTTTGGTAATATATACATATAAATAAAATTGGACTGTCTGTTTGTAATATTGAAATAACAGTTTTGAACTACATGCATATGAATATAAATACGGAATATATAACCAACATATTTTTTTTACAATTTTTGTCTGTCTGTTTGTTCCGGCTAATCTCTGAAATGGCTGGACCGATTTTGACGGGACTTTTTTTGGCAGGTATCTGATGTAATAAGGAGTAACTTAGGCTACTTTTATTTAAAAAAAATCTTATATTTTAGAAAAATAAAGTTAAATTACACGCGGACTAAGTCGCGGGAACAGCTAGTATTTAATATTTATCTTATATTAAATTAATTCTTAAAATTACACATTAAGAAATTTGATTAAAATATTTTTGTATCCACAACTTTTACTACGAGTTTACTACAACGATACTTGAAAGTAATCCCAAATATATTTTTAGGGCATTGTTTACATTCCCACGTCAGCGCGTGTCGATAGCTTGCCATAGACAAAATTATCTTTTCTGTTTCATCATCTCGTGATATAATAATTTCAACCTTATTTTCTATGTGATAGTTCTCAACTCGCGTGATTAGTAGTTTAGAGACATTGTCGACAGCCGAACGCCGTCACTTGTCAATCAACTCGCGGCATTCTATGTGGAGAACAGAAACCGTAAAATCGTTAACTAAGAACCATATTATGGTCTATTTGTATTGCTCTGATAGGAAATACACGATTTCAGAACGCACTCATTGCCTCCCACCATATTCTAAATTTAAACAATTGACGCGGCCATTTAATTAAATTATAAAGCGCAGAAAGCGCTACATTGCGCTGTACTTACTGTTTTTAAAGCATAAGTATAATTTTTAAAGCATTAAAAATTTAAAGCAAGAGATGTTTTCCGTTAATGGCGTTTATTTGAGTGAACACGGAATTATACAGAAAAATAAATCAGATAGGCGTATTTTGGGACCACGATTGATATGACCGTTATGAACATTATACAATAAAAGGTAAACACGTTCAAATGGAATAAATTAGAATATACAAGTTATCTTTTAAACGGAAATGTTGTTAAAAATATGAATTTATGCAGAGAAGTATGTGCTATTTCTTTTGTCAGTCTATTTCCAAATTCAAAATGGCGTTCATAGAACATGTAGTTACTATATAAGTTTTTAAATGTCCTAACATTATTTGAATTTGTATTCCATTTTCAAATTCATACTGTCATTCGAAAATAATTTTCATTTAAACATGCATATTCAATGAGGAAATTTTAATCCCTAACAAACCAGATGCATTAATAAACTTGTACAGTTAGTAAATATTAAAATAACCTAAATATTAAACTCATGTGTTACCTACTCATTGTTGGGCGATTGGTTAGCGATTTTTTAAATTTTTTTAGTTACTTTATTTACCCCTTACTGACTTCTACAGAATGACAACTCGCGCCTTTTTAATACTATATTCGTTTAGTACACATGAAATTTGCGTTTTTAGTTAAGTGTGTACGTGTGTGTTTTACGAGGCGTGATTACACGAGTACAAAATACACGTTTAGTACAGAATACAATTTCCCGCCTTTTTCATATTATGTACATTTTGTTCACATGAGTTTTTTTAATATTACGAGGTTTGTTAGTAGTAAATACACGATAATACCGCGTAAGGAATAACACTATCTAATTACGAGGTATATTACTATACTTGACTGCCCACAACGCGCGTTGCATCACGACACCTACGCAGACAGACAAACGTACAGCCTTCTTGGTCTTCTTGTAGATGTGTTAGACCTCGAATGTCAAATATCGAACCTTGTACCAATACTAAATATGGATAAATAACCTAATGTCGATTGAAACTTTATAGTCCTTGTATAAACAATTAAATATATAAATATTTATTTTAAATTAATCAATGTAGCGGCCTCGGTGGTCTACAGGCTTAGCACATGGTCGCGGGTTCGAAGTTTTTTTTTAATGGATGTTACCCCCGCTAATGTTTATGCTGGCAACAGTGGAGGATGATAAGATGAACATGAGGTCATGTCAGTTAGCCAATCATGACAAATTTGACATTTGAAACCAGGAATTTGTCACGATGGTATCCAGGGGGACCGCGTGGAGGTCAACCTCACATGGTACATTGCTAGCAATGTGATCATCAATCCACATTACACGACTAACAATTCCATTTCGAAGCGAAATACAGACTCTTATGATATTTCCATCCAAATACATCTTGGAGCTGTTATCTTTAGAGCTTATTCAAGAGGCATGAAATGTTTGTATAAACTGGCATAGTGGGGCGATAGTTCTCATACAAAACGTTAATCCAGTAGTCCAATACTTACATCGATTGTATAATTACCGTCTGTTGACGGCCTCGGTGGCCTAGCGGTTTAGCATACCGCCTTACTTCCGACGGTCGCGGGTTCTATTCCTCGCACGGCACAAACATTTTATTCATGAGTATGATTGCTTGTATCGGTCTGGGTATTTTCTATATATAATATAATATAATTCACAAAAACAACATTGTATGTTGTATTTATATGTTATGTTAACGAATATGTATAATATAGAATTAGATACACTATTGTATTGGGTTTAGGCTATATATAAGTAAATAAATATGTATGTAGATAAAAATCTATATATTTGTATCAGTTATCCAGTATCCATAACACAAGCTATAGCTGCTGTGTGAATTGTCCTGAGATTGTTATTATAGATTAATTAAATGGTAGCCGTAAGTTGTGTCATGTGGGCGTAGAATTCACAAAACTAGTAATTTCAAGAATTCGTTACAGGTTCTTTCGCGGAATTATTATCGAAATTTGCCGCCCACATTATCTTTGCACTTTAAATTAATTAATTATAACTAATGCACGCTCATTAATTCCATTTTGATCCTATTCAGTCGTGGGTGTAAGGTCTGCTACTTATCACGGATTACTTGTTTACTTTGATTGCATTTCGTAAGTATTTTTATCGGCCATTTACATACCATCGCTGATTAATTGCCTCAAATCGAATGTTTGTATTCTCCTTATACAGATAATGTGGATATAAAATAGTATATTAATGATCTTCGCTATATTTCTGATGTTATCTTAGACATATCTGGTGGCATGGCCAGCATCAACTTCGAGCCAGTGATGTCTTACAAATGGTATAACATTCTCAGTTTCTATCCTTTGGCTTTGGGAAAGTGTTAATTCCAAAACGATGCAAGAACCATGCATCTACAGAGAGCTGTCACGTTCTAATTCTGATGCGTTTTCTATACGAGTTCTATAAATGCGCGATGCGGGAGAGTTCAACACATCGCGGTCCATCTTTTTAGAATACGACACAAATAACATTCTATATTTGTAAATTTATACACCACCAACTACGAGAGCATCTATCCATGATGTGATCTCTTCACGATTTTCAATTTTACCACTCGGATTTAGGATTGATACTCCCGTATCGTCGGCACTAGTGGGCACTTTGTTTCACTTGAGCAGAATGGAGATCCTAAGGTGGTACGGTTATGCAGCAGCCATGCCGATGACCACATGCATCAATGTTTGTAAATAGAACGGTGAGGATTACGAGGAACTTTTGATCTTTTAGACCAACCAACTGTGTCACATCCATCGCTTGTTTGACTCGAAGAACTAACGCGACGTAAACAAGAACTTTACGATGTACGATAAACGACAAGTGTCAACGTCTCGGCGCATTATGTAAACGGATTCGCTGAGTAGGTGGTGCGCGTGTGTTGACTGGGGACATCTCTACATCTAACAGGATGCCTCACATCTTTAGTTAACATTGTTTACAAACAAAAAGTTGTATATTGTTATTTTTAAAGTAGTAAGTCTTTAATTTGTGTCCACTGTGAGACTATAGGATGAAAAGATGATGCAACGACGCGAAAGAACTCGTTCGAAAGAATGTAACATGTGTATTTGCTCATTCCATTATAACCAGCTGGTTTTGGAAGAGAAAAATCACGCTTATCTCGGCACAAACACTAGGGAACAGTGGTCCACAGCTCGAGCCATCTGTTCGTTGCACCCATAAAAGATAACGAAAACGTATAAATGGGAACGTTCATTTAGTATCAGGCCCTTCTAGTGAACACTCCTGCGTACCGTTGGATTTATTACGCGCGAAAAACAAGCCGCCATTTTGCATATTTCCGATGTGTTCCATATTCGAACGCACGGTGCGTAGCCCTCGCCCGTTATATATTCTGTTTTTGAGATGTGGTTTATTTTTGATCGCGTTGTCCTATTTAATCCGTTGTACTGGTGTGGCCAGCGCCTCAATCAGTCTCAGCGGCAACAGTTCCTTTGACGTCGTGTTTCACGTTTCTAAACGTACAAAATGATTAAATATATAATATCTAAATTAAAGAAAAAAGTGATAGAGGTATTTTTTTAATCGTGAATTTTTTCATTTTCAAGAGTGAAGTTTTAAAGTGCGTTTTCTTTGTTGCAGATATATCCAGATCCTGAGTCTGAGAAAGCGTCTGTGGTGTACTGCATCCACCATAAAGATGGGTGTACATGGTCGGACGAGCTACGCAAACTGGGGGTGAGAAATATTTTGTGTATATCGTATTGAAATATTTGCGTAGATAAGTAAAGTGGATCAAATAGCGACACGGACGTGTTACGAGTAATGTATTACATATTTCTTTATCTCTCATGTTCAAGTAGGCGTATGGCATGACACGGAAGACTTTTGTCGGTTTCCGTCATCATATTTGTTTAGTGACTTGATGTTAATTTGTCACTACTATGTGACTTTAATCATAAAAATTTATTATGACTTGAAAGTGTTTGTACACTTTCTGTAGATGCATTTGGAATGTTCGTAATTACTGGTTTTGAAATAGGTTTCCCTGTACTTGTTTAAACTAATAAAATCAAGTCCGCAGTGTCCAAATCTAATGCATCATCGTTGGAGAGGACACGCCCACATTAGTTTGCAATTATTGGACATTTGGTTTTAGTACTGTTAGATTTTCGCGCTCTGATTTTTTTACTATCCAATCTGTTATATACTACATATTTATTTTGAACTAGTTATGCAGGCACCTTCGTTAGCATGGAATTACGACGAATTTCCAACCTTTTCCAAACTTTGAATGTCATATTTAATTACCTTTAATAATTACGATATTTCCATACAACCTTTCATCTCCACTTTCAACCCTTTTTTCGCATTAATAAGTAGCATATATCTTTTCTCAGGGTGTAGACTATCTATGTACCCAATTTCATTTAAATCAGTTCAGCAGTTTTGGCATGAAACCTCGACAGAGTTACTTTCCTATTTATAATATTACTAAGGATTTTCGTCAATAAGTTTAACTTGGTATGAATGTTTATGAACCCTTTGGGAAAACTAATAAAAAATCGTATATGCACAGGCGCATCTCAACACATGCAAGCATGATGCTGTGCAGTGCTCGGCGCAGTGCGGTGCGATGATACCTCGCGTGCTGATGCAGGATCATCTCCGGTACACGTGTCCACGCCGCCGAGCCAACTGCGAGCATTGTCACAAAGAGTTTTCAGAGAGTGCGCTCGAGGTAAGAAATCACTTGTAAATAATCTAAACTGAAGGGAATACATTTGGTTGATTATTTTGATAAAAAAAAAACAGGTCAGTTTACCCATTCTAATATACCAGATACTAACTACAATGGTTTCCGGGGAATCTGTATTAAAAATGGATTCTATAATTCTCGTTACTAATAAATATGCATCCTAATTTAAAGGGTTTTTCTGACCCTATCTATTGGGTATTCCTAAGTCGATAAGATACAACAACTGAACTCTATACTATAAGTATTGTTTTATTTATTCCTAAAAATGTTCATTCTCATTCCAGGAACATCAAGGCAACTGCGGGTATGAGCCAATATACTGCGAAAACAAATGCGGAGCCAAAGTTCAGCGTAGACATACACAACAACACATCCAACAGCACTGCAGTAAGCGGCTCGTACCTTGCAGACACTGTGGTCAGAGATACACACAGGTAAGAACATAGCTTCGAAAATTAGGCGCATTTTTTGTATACAAAAACGAGGTGTTTGGGGAAGGAAAGGAAGGGGGAAGATGTTGGGGTTTCTTAGATGATACATCTATGCTATATATTGTAGGTTTGAGATAAACCAGTGAAATTCTGGTATACATGTGTTGTCCGCCGGAATGGAAACGCATGAGTATCACAGGCGTCACTTGATTACGTGTCCGTAGTGCTGTTTATGTATATAGACAACTTACAATTTACCATCTTGTTTGCAACTGTCAGCTTGTTCATTCCATTTACATAAAAAAAATGTATTTCATAAAACTTAACAATATTATAAAGCCAGTAATACCGCAAAATTGCATTAAAAACCCGTTTAAAATCCAATTCGTTTAAGTATTATGATTTAATTATACTATAAAACAATTAATACAAAGAAATAATATTAAAAACCCACTCATCAAAAGGGTTTTAAACCTATATCGTATCAATAGTGTAACCCTATAACACCCAATAAATATGTGTCGCTGTACACTAATCAACCGGAACCCTATAATATAGTAATGTGGATTGATAAACACATTGTTACCAATGTACCATGTCAGGTCGACCTCCACGCGGTTCTCCCTAGAAACAGTCGTGTTAAATTCCCGGTGATTTTGTTACGATGGGCTAACTGACCTGACCTCATGCTCATCTCATCATCCTCCACTGGTGCGCAAGCGTAAACCGTTACCGCAGGCAGCATTCCATTATCAACCCTCAAAAAGAAACCCAATAAATATGTGTGTGTGTTTGTGTCAGGACACTGTGTACTGTCGTGTTAAATTCCCGGTGAATTTATCACAATATCTAACTGACCTGACCTCATGCTCATCTCATCATCCTCCACTGGTGCACCAGCGTAAACCGTTACAGCAGGCAGCATTCCATTATCAACCCTCAAAAAGAAACCCAATAAATATGTGTGTGTGTTTGTGTCAGGACACTGTGTACCGTCGTGTTAAATTCCTGGTGAATTTATCACAATATCTAACTGACCTGACCTCATGCTCATCTCATCATCCTCCACTGGTGCGCAAGCGTAAACCGTTAGCGCAGGCAGCATTCCATTATCGACCCTCAAAAGAAACCCAATAAATATGTGTGTGTGTTGTGTCAGGACACTGTGAACCGTCGTGTTAAATTACCGGTGAATTTATCACAATATCTAACTGACCTGACCTCATGCTCATCTCATCATCCTCCACTGGTGCACCAGCGTAACCCGTTAGCGCAGGCGGGTGCATTCTATTATCAATCCCAATAAATATGTGCGTGTGTTTGTGTCAGGACACTGTGTACAGTCGTGTTAAATTCCCGGTGAATTTATCACAATATCTAACTGACCTGACCTCATGCTCATCTCATCATCCTCCACTAGTGCGCCAGCGTAAACCGTTACCGCAGGCAGCATTCCATTATCAACCCTCAAAAAGAAACCCAATAAATATGTGTGTGTGTTTGTGTCAGGACACTGTGTCGGCGCACGGCGCGGTGTGTGCCCGCGCGCCGGTGCCGTGCCCGCAGCGGTGCGCGGCCACGTGCGTGCCGCGGGACGCGCTCGACGCGCACCTGCGCGACCACTGCGCGGCCGCGGGCGCAGTCTGCGCCTTCCGGGACGCAGGCTGCAGGTTTAAGGTAACCATTCACGTATAGCTTGTGTGGTGTGGAATCTGTTCAAGTGATCACATACTTATAGCGTTTGCACTGAATCTCATGAAGTTATTCTATATATATTAAAAAACATACCAGAACAATGAACCTAAAACAAATATCTTAAAAATGTAATATAATAACGAATTTTGGTAAAATATATCGAACAGTAAAATGACATATTTATAGCATTTGTAGAATCTCTTGAAGTTACTCTATATATATTGTCAATTCAGTGTTATCTAGTCCCAAGATAAGCAGTACTATGAAATCTCTTTTTTGTATTATTCATAGTCTAGTCTCAAGATTAGCAGATCGTGTTATATGCGTACCAGACAACTGATAAAAATACTTTTATTTTTTTTATTAATCCATACATAATATATGTATATAGTAAAAAAACTGTATCACCTTACATATTTCCCCCTTCCTATGTAAAAAGGGAATACGTACACAATTATAAAAAAACCATTGTTACAATAAGATACAGAGTTAATAATGGGCAGCCTTATCGCTAAATAGCAATTTTTCTATGATAATGTTCTATTATTTTATTAATAAAAACAATTCTATGAGAGAGCAGAAGCAGACAGAATAACCTATTGCCATAACATAAAGAGACCTAAAACCAAGGAATTTGAAAAGAAACTACTAAAAAACAATATTTTTAATTTAAAAATAGTTAGATAATATGATACTCAATTAATTTAACAAAATAATTAAATTTTTCAGGGCACAAGACAAGCTCTAGAAAGGCACACAGAAGAGAGCTGCCAACAGCACCTCGCTCTAGTCTCAACGTTAGCCTCCCGTCAGGCGCGGCAACTGGAGTCCCTCAGGGCTGCCGTCGCTCGCCTCTCAGTCAACTGCTCAGGAGTACTCGTATGGAGGATCACGGAATGGGCAGCTAAAATGGCGGAGGCGAAATGCAAAGATGGCGTTGAACTGGTGTCCCCAATTTTTTATACAAGTCAATACGGATATAAGTTACAGGTGAGTTCTTCTAATTATAATACTAGCTGTACCTGCGGTTTCACTCGCGTGAAATTTATAGCCTACATGTTATACTGATGTATAAGCTATATTACTGCAAAGTTTCATCAAAATCCGTTCAGTAGTTTTTGCGTGAAAGAGTAACAAACATCCATCCTTTCTCACAAATTTTCGCGTTTATAATTAACTAGCTACTCGCCCCGGCTTCGCCCGGGTGTACATGTATTATACATATAAACCTTCCTCTTGAATCACTCTATCTATTAAAAAACGCTTCAAAATCCGTTGCATAGTTTTAAAGATTTAAGCATACATAGGAACGGAGAGACAGCGACAGCGACTTTGTTTTATACTATGTAATGATAATAATGCGATACTTGATACAATACTCAGTTTATTTTTAAATAAAGCACAGTCCATGTCATTCTCGCTTTAAATCTACTAGCATATGAATTAGTCACTCCAAAAACAGTCAACTGTTTAATATACAGAATTTTTCATAGATGATTTCGTTATTATAGTTAAACATACCGACATTCCGTTTCTGATCCTTTACCGTAAATAACTTAACTTAACCGTCTAAATATCCGTGTTGTTGCTAGCCTTTGTTTGTAAACAAAGCGGTGTTGCCTCGTTTTATTGCATTGGTGAATAACATCTGATGACTAAGTAACTGCACGCACTGTTACAACTCGACCGAATTAGAAGCTTACTCACATAGCAACGAGATGCTGATACAGATCTGTACTATATATAATTTTACAGCTCATATCTTGCACAATTTTACGTATTAAGTTTAATGGAATGGTTTTTTTTCGGACTACTCTAATGCTGTTGGCCGCAGCTGGCCTTTACAGCTTCACTGGACGTTAGGGGGCGAGTGCAGATGGCATTCCAAACCCGCGGAAGGACTTATGGAGAGGCTGAAGGCCAACTCCTGCCTGACGGATACGAATGGAATGGTGCACCTGGGGCACCAGTGGGGGATGATAGGATGAAAACATGGTTAGGTTAGCCTGTCGTGATAAATTCACCAGAAATATATGATGGTCTCCAGGGAGAACCGTGTGAAGGTCAACCTAATATAGTATATTGCTAGCAATGTGGTCATCAGTTTAACAACAGTTAACAATCGTTGTATGTAGTATTTAACATTATCTCTAAAGTAACGTAAACTCTAAATAAGAAAATATTTTATTTTTGTTAAGACTAAATATATTAATTTTAATTTTAAAATAGTTAAAAAATACGTGCGGTAGAACCGCAAGAACCCAGAGTCACAATTCCAAATAAAATAAATACGAAACAACTATGTTGGAAGCCGATGACTCTGTACTTATTTTAGTATTGTTAAAGAAATGAATGCAGAAATATATTAAAAAAAAACTGATCGACCAGGAAATAAACAAAAGATAACAAACACTAGAATGTTGAAAGTATGCTTATCGGATTTTCGGAGACTTATCATAATAGTCGTTAAAGAATAACTTATCGGTAGCACGGTATATTAGCTCACGTCTGTCAGATATTAGTCAGGCAAAAACATAGGGTCATAAGTAAATAAAAAAATGTAGAAGAACCTAATTGACTTAGTATTTCATTGAAGCGAATTAATTCACTGTTACGTGGTTTATTAGTTAGTCCTGCTCACTTAAATGTCCAGACGGGCGGTGGCGTGGTGGGACGGGACATTGGGGTCCCTAAAATATGGTTGAGCGTATTGATGGCTGGCTCGACCGTTATACTGAACGGGTGCTGTTTGTAGGGACTGGTCTGCTCTAATAGCTATGACAGATTTATTGTTACTCAAGTGACTATATATATGTCAACTTTGTTATTTAGTACTTTGTATTCACGCAAGTCTTAAAAATGTAATTCTGAACAACAATTATTTTAAAGAGCAACACGCACGTTTTATTTTATTGTTCTTGTGATGAGACTGTGTTCCGAAAGAGTGGTAGAATAAAAAAATATAACTATTCAAAAGTGTTTATATTAAGTTTATTTGAATAAAGATTATTTCTATATCTAAGCAAGGCATTATTATTAGTAAGTTAGGCTTTAGAGTAATAATATCTTTCTTATTCTTTTAAGAATAGCAATTGTATTGTTTAGTTTCTCAGATTGACTCATACAACATCTATAGATGAACATTGTGGCCTTATAGGCGTTGTTAGATCACCACAAGTATAATCAGCAGCAATAATAGCATATATTTCATTTGTTGCAGGCATCACTATTCCTCAATGGTAATGGAGCGGGTGAAGCAACACACATGTCAGTATACATCAAGATCCTTCCAGGGGAATACGATGCAATCCTACGCTGGCCATTCGCTCACTCCGTAGCGTTCACACTCTTCGATCAGAGCTCCAACCCAGACAGAGCGTGCAATATCGTCGAAAGCTTCGTCCCAGATCCCACGTGGAAGAATTTCCAAAGACCCTCAAAAGAACCGGACACTCTAGGCTTTGGGTTCCCAAGGTTTGTCTCCCACGAAATGCTCAAGAAGAGGAATTTTGTCAAGGACGATGTCATGTTCTTGAGAGTTAAGGTTGATCCGAGCAAAATAGTGGCGGTATAGGTATTGCTAGTTACACCAATGAAGATACGGTCAACACAGATATTGAGTTGAATGGATGACCTCAACATATTGAATTGTAACAAGACTTAATAGTTTAGTGTTTAGTGACTCTCTTTACATAGCGAAGTTTATTGAATTTCAATTTCATAGTTTCAAATAGGTGCTGCCAATTCTTTAGCAAATAAGATACATATCGTTTAATATAATATCCAGAGATTGCTTTAAACAAATTTAAATATAAAATTTGTCTTTTAGATCCATCGGCCTCTCACTTTTCTTTTTCCAACCGTTTTAATGCTGTTGGTTTCAGCTTATCTTTTACAGCACAGCTACTTCTAGAAAAAAATCATCAGAGGCATTTCTTTAATATGAAGCAATATGTCTGTAGATTTTGCTTTTTTTAATTAAAAAAAAAATATATATAAAATCGTTTTATAACGTAATTAATTGTAGAAATTCTCCAATATGCAATATGTTTAAGGTTATCTCTTGAACCCACAATCTGTGCTTAAGTATCTATATTTCTGTCTGTGCAACGCACAATTGTGCAAGTCATTTGTTATTTAGTATTAAGTAATTTAAAAGTCATAGTTTTAAATGTACAGAACGGGTGAGTCCGTTTTTTTATGTAAAAACTTGTATATAGTTAGTTTTAGAGGCATTACATGCATTGTTATCCTTTCACCGAAGATCTCTTGTGTTCATTGCCGTAAACAGAACGTAACAACCTGGGCATTGTCTCAAAGGACAATTACGGGGTCAGTTGTAAAGGGTATATAAGGGTTAATTCTAAAGAATTCAATACTGCTCATGAAACTAATCAACTGTTAAAGAAGCAATGTGTAAATTTAAGATGATTTTTTTAGACTTTTTCGTCCTTTTGAATCCTTCATAGTATTCCTCAATTTTGTATGAAAATTTCGAAATTTATTTTCATATTTCTTTGTTTCTTGTTTGACTCAGTTTCATTAGTGGTTTCCGACTTGATACGCTTTATGACTGACCATAGAGTAACATCAGTGGATTCCTTATCTATGACTATCCCGTGCCATATTTTAATTTCTATTCAGTATTATTGTAAAATACACACATTTTTATAGGGTACTGCAAAAATTGTGTGTAAAATGACTTCATGGTTACATGTTCATCGCGTTTTTGGCTGCCTCGTGTGTGTTTTATCGAAGGCTTTTTGAAAAATGCTATGGACGCGCTTTATCATCCATATTAACTTTATTTTTCTATTTTTTTTTAATAAATTTTTGTCTTTGAGACATGTTTGGCATTGTTATATCGGCAGATCTTTGTATATATTATAACGTATTTATGTAAATGAAAATTAAAATGTGTTAACTATAATATTGTTTACTGTAAATAGACGGTCTGTCCATAAACGTTGTAAATATCGAAAGTATATTTTTAAAATATTTTTTCTTAATGTGTGTAAGCTGGAGTTAGACCAAAGTGTTTGATTGCTTTGCTCGTGGTGAATTGTACATACTTACAGCAAAGCGGATCACCATATATGTATGGCACGGCTAAAGCTGTACAAATACATATATTGTTAGATTTATATATATATAATTTCAATTTGGTCTTGTGTGTGTCGTTATATTGTACATAATTAACCGAATCCTGATTTACTAAGATATTAATTATTATGTTTAATAATATTAAAATCTGAATTCTAGTTTCGTAGAATTAGCATTTATTATTGAATTGATCTTGATATACTAGTGTGTAACTGTTTCTCTTCTAAAATGACTAAATATTAACTTTAAGGCTCTGAACAATTATGGTTAATTATTTTTAATATCAAATCTCAAAAGTAATATTACATTCCATAAAAAAATTAATATAAGTCTGGCTCCTACTGTGTTAGTGAACATAAGAGCGGCAAGAAAATAAAAAGAAACTTGACTCTACACTAAAAACTAAAACCCATTATCAAAATATCAAACATGTGATTATAAGCATATTCAGAAGAAGTTAGTAGTTTAAAAAACATCGTAAATATCATATAAATGATTCTGTATTTTTATTAGATTAGAGTGGAAAGGCCAAAAATAACATATTCCATACTAAGATCCTCCTGCATTTGGCCGATGAAGCCTATGTTTGACCAGAAAACTACTCTTAGACTACAAAGCAAGCTGCTTGGCTCCTGAAATAGGTGAGATAAATCTATCGACGTAGATCATCCTAATTCTATCTCGGTAATAATACCAATCCTTGATATTGTATATATTATAGTACTTACATATTTTTGCATAATGCCCTATTTTAAAAAATACGGCTGAAGTTATTTTTCTTTATATTCCACCTTTTTTATACTGATATAATGATATCTTTGCTAATATACAGCATTCCGTACTGTCTTTATCACAATGTCTATCCATTGAATACAATGTAACATGTTTTCGATTAATTTTGGGTTCCATTAATTTATTACTGAATATTATTAGTATTGCTTCTAATAAACGATTTAGCTCATATTTTATATTCACTGGTTTCGTCCGTTTCAATATTTTTAATATTTCTTTAGGCAAAACCGTTTCTACCTACACTTATAATATAAATGGTGAATTAATGCGATGATGATGATCAATTTTGTTTGTGTATTTGTCACATTGAAATATTTAGCTGATAGATATTTTTCGTTAAACCAAAGTTTAAGTGCAAACCAAGTTTTAAAATTAGTTCACTTTTATTTTTTTTTATACAACTTAGGTGGCAAACAAGCCTACGGCCCATCTGAAACTTCTTGAGAAATATATTTAACTAATTGCTGCTTTTATGTTAACTAAAACAATATTTATGTTACTTGTAGATAATTATATGACATCAGGATCTAAGTTTTAGGGACCTTATTACTATAGCAAAAGACTAACTATAGTTAAGCTAGATTTAACAATAATTAAGTTGGTCTCTATGTTATATTTAAGTAGACAGAGGAATTAATTATAAGTTTTTAAGGTGAAAATATACATTTTCCTATATAAATATGTTTTTTAATGATATACCTTAAATTTTTTCTAACTAAACATTAAAACCCGATCACTGAAAAATCACATAAAAAGTAAAAATCACGAATTAGAGCAAATTCTTTGTAATATAATATTTTTTATAAAGAATTTTCTCTAAACTCTAATATTTATGAACTTGTTAGCCGAGATCGTATGTTTTCTCATATAGATAATATCGCGGTTTCACCTGAATGAAATTTATAGCCTATATATGTGTCATTTTGAGGTATAAGCTACTATACTACTGTAGTTTAATTGAAATCCGTTCGATAGTTTTTGCGTGAAAAAGTAACAAACTCACAAACTTTTGATGTAATTATTTTATTAGTGTAAGTGTAGATGGCATGCAACGATCGGCAGGCGACCAAAACTGATATTGTGGCGATAGATCGGGCACTCTCGAGGGTGTGTTTGGTGGACATCACCATACCGCATGACGAGAACCTCGTGAAAGCCGAAACAGAGAAGAAGAGAAAATATCTCCACCTGACTCACGAGGTGACCGAAATATGGGGGGTGATGTCCACCGAAATCATTCCAATCGTTATGTCGGTGAATGGTCTTATCCCAACCAGTCTGGAGTAACATCTCAGACGGTTGGGATTCCGAGGCGGCTCACTCCCGGGAAAGATGCAGAAAGCGGTGCTCTTAGAATCTGCCTGCATTGTACGCCGGTTTCTCTCCCTGGGGCCCTGAACCCCGGCCGACTGTGCTTCTGCCGGGGGTATGTTGCCGTCTCCTTTCTTTAAGAGGGGAGATGAGATTTTTTTTGTAAAAGCTAGTTATACAGAAATACTAATTTCACAAAATTTATAGCTGATATTTCGAATACTCTGTCAAGATAACACTCACCAATTAATTTCGATGATTTAGAGATCAATTACGTATTCCGATAGTATTTAATTAGTGTTTGCACTGCTCTAAATACCATTTCTACAAACGGACTAATTGAAGTACTATTTATACATATTGTTGACTGACAGCCCCGGTGGTCTAGTGGTTTAGCATACCGCTTTACTTCCGATGGTCGCGGGTTCGATTCCTCGCGCGATACAAACATTTGTATTCATGAGTATGATTGTTTGTATCGGTCTGGGTGTTTTCTATTTATAATATGAATTATTGAAAAAAACATGCATCTATATATTTATATCAGTTGGCTAGTACCCATAACACAAGCTCTGCTTAGCTTGGGACTAGATGGCGTTGTGTGAATTGTCCTGAGATATTATTATTATTATTGTTACAAAGGGAAAATCTTTATTTTGTTCTGTTGCATATAAAATTTATTACTGTAATGTGTCATTTTAAAGATTAGTATAAAAACACTGGCTGACACAGCAAACGTTGTTTTGTCATACATATTAAAGTATTAATATCGCTATAAAAAACTGGGGTTTATAATAAAACGCTATTAAAGTGGTATGGTATGTTATTTATATCTATAGTATGGTATTTATCAATACTAAATTATAATTAATATAAAAATAAAAGTAAAAAAATCAATAAAATTAATTATTATAAAAATAAAGGAAAATAAATTACAAATACTCGTAGATGGTAACTGATTCTCAGACCTACCCGATACGCACACATAATTTTATAAATATCCGAAATAACATTATGATACAAGAATTTTATATATTAGATTAAAAATATATAAATCTTATTCGAAATGGTTTCCATATACAGTCCTTTAACGTTGAGGCCAGTTATCAATAGAAGCACGCACTCCATGGGAAAAAGTCTTCACTGCCAATATTATTGCTTTAGAGACTCCAAATTATCAAGGCGTTTAAAACATGCCATATTCTCTAAAACGAACTTACTTTTTGTAATGCAATGCAAAAATTTTAGATACAGGTATAAAGTATAATCTAATTTTATTCTAGAAAAGGCAAGGTCGCACTACAATGCACCGGACTGCGCTAAACGCTGGCGGGGCACCAGTGGAGGATAAGATGAGCATGAGGTCAGGTCAGTAGGCCCATCGTGATAAATTCACCGCGTGGAGTCCACATTACTTACAATAATCATCAGTCCACATTCCTTACCCCTTTCATCATCCATAAAACAAAACCTAAAGTTTTGTTTTATGGATGATAATGCAATTTACGCTGGTGGGGCACCAGTGGAAGATGATAAGATGAGCAAGAATTTATAACGATGGTTTCCAGGGGGAACCGCGTGGAGGTCAATCTGACATGGTACATTGCTAGCAATAAGATCATCAGTCCACATTACTAACAACAACCCTTTCCCTCCCCTTTCATCATCCATAAAACAAAACCTAAAGTTTTGTTTTATGGATGATAATGCAATTTACGCTGGTGGGGCACCAGTGGAAGATGATAAGATGAGCATGAGGTCAGGTCAGTTAGTCCATTGTGAAAAATTCACCAAGAATTTATCACGATGGTTTCCAGGGGGAACCGCGTGGAGGTCAACCTGACGTTGTATATTGCTAGCAATAATATTTTATTTTCGGGTAAGAAATCACGAATTTGACGAAAATTAAATACACATGATATTTTCCTACACACGGCAAAAATCACGACTTAACATAAGGGGTTAGAGCCCCTTATGATATTTCGTGACATTTCCCGAAGCCCCTTCTTCTGAGTCCAACATAATTGAACCCCTTCGCTAACCTAGCAGTGAAATCGCTACAATACATGTTCCACTTTAAATGTGGGTTAATATCTGAATATCAATCACAGAACAACAATAAATACGCGAGTGTAAATTAATAATTATCATCAATCATTATTTTATCGTTATATTTATGAGTATTGTCAACAGCGCCCTCTTTGGAATGACCTCAGAATTAAGTGAATTCTGCTGGTATCTCTATAATTATGAGGCTAACCCAGTAATAGACGGAACGAAATACATATATATATATATAATAATATTCTTACTCTTTATTATTGTATAAGCAGACCCATCCACGCGTTGCAGTGGCTAAGGTTCTTGAATAAAATAATATTGCGACTATAAATTGAGATGTAAGCTATCCTATCTTTCAAGTTGGATCAATTTGCACACAATGTGCAAATCCAAATTGCAATCGGTTCAGTAGTTTAGGAGTCCATTGTGGACAAACAACGTGACACTTCATTTTTATATATAGACGGCCTCTGTGGTCTAGCGGTTTAATTCCGGAGGTCGTGGGTTCTATTACTCTCACAGTACTAATTTTGTATTCAAGAATAATAATTCTATTTAGCTTGTGACTAGATGGTGCTGTGTGAATTGTCCAATTATTATTTAAATACATTATTGTATGTAACTGCAATGGTAAACAGTCAGCACAAACAGACAGTTATAATATTAGTAAAGTCCAGTAGAAATAAAATCAACTTTTAAATATAAACAATATATATTACATAAATTAACATCTTATATTTACATATTTTGTGAACTGCCAGACTGACTGAATGTGGAGCTGTTGAGATTCGCTGGTGCTGGTTTCTTGGCCATCTGTAAGTAGAAACATAGGATATTGTGACAACTGACTGTAAGGGCAGAAACCTGAGGTATCAAGTTCTCTGGCTATATATATTTTCTGGAATAGAAACAAATTATTTTTGGATAGAGTGATTTCCTTCCTTTCTTTCTAACAGATCACTTCATGGTACGTAACAATCGCCCATATATATAATAATAATAATAATTTGATTTATTTATTTATATATGAACAGAAGATATTGGACATCACATTGTTATGTGGTCATCATGATATCCCTCATCTATTCCTAAATCATCTAAATACAATCGCGTTATCTTCTACGGTCTTGAGGAAATGACCCGTACATAAAATAGCTTGTAATATAGGGTAGGGTTGACAGTGCGATGAACCAATCAAGTTAATGCAACATTAGGCTATCCACTCCAAGAGTGTACCAGAATGGAGTAAGACAACTGTTGTACGACATACAAGATCTGCTTCTTACTCCACTATTACATAGTGTCTGTACATATGACAGCCTCAGTGGTCTAGCAGTTTAGCACATCGCCTTACTTCTGATGGCCGCAGGTTTGTTTCCTCGCACAGTACAAACATTTGTATTCAGGTGTATGATAGTTTTGTATGTACAATGTATGTATTTACAAAAAAGAATCTATGTATTTATATCAGTTGTCTAGTACCTATAACACAGCCCCGCTTAGTTTAGGACTAGATGGCGCTATGTGATTTTTCAAGGGTTATTATTATTACATATATGTATACATATCTGTAATTTTTATTATTGTATTCTTTCTTTATTTTATTTTTTTTTGTCATATATTACTAGTATTAATATTATATAAACACTAAATTATTATATAGGTACACTCAGATCGCCATACCAATGTAACATTATCTGTCAAACCTGCTTTGATTTCCACGATACAGGCATAGCCTAGTATAGTGGTCATAGTTACAATGTTACTTAAGTTAAGTTTTATGAAATAAATGTTTTTCTATTCTACATAATAACTACAATGTTTCTGTCAAGAGTGAATCAAATAAGAAGCATTTGTCTACTATATACTCATATATATACACAGGTGCAGACCTGTGTTATCTTAGGACTAGATAGCACTAGGTCACCATATGTGAGAACCTGGGTTATTATTATTACATAAAAACCACAACCTTCCAATCAAGAAGTCAGAAGTGTATTGAATAAGAAGAAGCATGTTATATGAACAGCTCACCGTTTGTATTCTAAGAAGATCATCCATAGCAGCTGGTAGTAGTGGCTTCACCGAGTTGATCTCCATCATGGTCAGGTGGTCGAGCCTACCATAACTGCCTCCAGACTTCATGAGTGCATCCATAGAGGTCCGAAGTTTAGACATGCGAATGTCCCATATGTCTTTGATGATTGTTTTTATTTCCCCTGAGTTTGGTATGTCATCGCCAGCAGCTCCGAGGATCAATTTGGCTTCCACCATGTAGTGTGCATTTGGCATCTTTGTGAAAAATCTGTGAAGATTTAAATTCACAAAGTATTACTAACTTTTTTTTTTAATTATATTTTATGTGTTCTTTTTGTCATACTTTAACTAATTGTCTTATCTATATCCATAGTTCGCAGCTGCATTGCATTATATAATAAAGTTGATATATGCAACTTCATCTGCATCACACTTAACATATTTTTTTTCTTTTTTATTTATTTTAAGAAGATTAATGGTGTAATTTTACATGTTACTTGTCATATCAAATTGTCCTATGCCAATATATCATTATATATAATGATATATTTACATATATTTTTAAACATAATTTAAAAATATATGTAAATTGGGTGAAATATATGTATGCCTATGTGTTATTCTGATTACTATATTATTGAACTAAGCTATATTATTGAAAAGTTTCATGAAAACCCGTTCTGTAGTTTTATTGAAAGAGTAACAAACATACATCCATACTAACTTTCACCAACTATTTGATGTTAATTGACAATAAATTCGTTTTCTTTATTTATTACTCTGCTCTTTTACTGTCACATTGCTAAAATGTAATAGTTTTAAAGCTTTGATAGCATGTGACACAGACATCTTTGTAGTCTTACACTAATAAATAAAGACTGCAAAGACAATGTTGACTTCTTTTAGCACATTGTTATTTTAGTGCATATGACAATTTCTTTGATAGTTCTGAACCAATGTTTTTTTTAAATAAGTCTGTTTATATTGTTATTTACAATATTACTAATATTAACGGCAGAAAGAGGTTCCATAGGGATGATGAGTTGTATGATGTTGGCTATAAATAGAAAGACCTACCTGCTACGTTTCTCTTCCTCCTTAAGATTCTCTAAAGCGTCAATTTCCATCCAATCCGGTGGTACAATTCGACATTTTTGCTTCTGTTTTAACATTATAGCCAGCCATAGAGGAACATTCAAAGGTAAACCTGCACGAAACGGTCCAAACTCTCCACAAATCAAATAGATTTTGTCGTAAGAAAAGTTTGGTATAATACTAATGATTCTATTTTCACCGATGAATTCTATTTCGTACGGATCCATTTGCAATATGTTTTGTGTAATGATTTAATACAATAATTGCAAAGTATAATAATATAATATCAAAACGTTTATTCAATTGTTTTCGTTTGGTTGTTTTGTTTGACAAAGTGACAGTCAAAGTGTCAAAATTACCCGCGCTTTTTGTGTTCTGTCAAAACTCTTGTCTCTACAAGTGTCTGCGTTTCGATTCCCGAGTTTCCACAATTGGTGGTTTACAGTTTATAATCGATGTAGTATTAAATTTTAAAACTTGGTTACAGTTCACCTAATAATTAGTAATATAATTTTACAGTATCGAACAGATTGTGTAAATAAATTAAACAGAGAATTATTTTTTTATTAAAAGTCCGAAATATGGACAGCGCCATCTATACAAATTACCGTACATTAATAAGTTAAAAAAGCTATTCAGTTTAGCATACTCCGGAATTTAATTATGTTACATATTATTATGGACAATAAATCATAGATGGCACTGAAACACTAACCGCTAAGTAGATGACAGGTCAAGACGACGAAAAAAAAACTTTAGTTAGTTTTTTTACATTCTAAATCTTTGTTATCCATAATAATGTCATAATAAATAAGTTTTTACACTTAAAGTATTTGTTAATAAAGCAAAAGAGGAGCAAATGAACGATAAAATGGGCACGATCGATCCAAATCGCTTTGGCAAAGTGCAAACTCCTAATTACTAGCAGTAAATAAGGGTGGCCGGTTGACAACGTCTCAGACGGTTAATATTTATGGGCAGCTCCGTGCCTCGACGGGGTTCGGACTCCATTGCCCCCCTCTAGCATCTGTCAATTTGTAGCATTGTAGTTATTATAGTTATATGTAATGGAAATGTCTCTAAACTTATCTGATGTGGAATTTAGACATAACTATGTAATATACATATGTTTATTATATAGTTAGGAGGTATAATATACATTTTGTTTATGTAATTAGATTGGCAAACAAACTGGCAGCCCACTTTACAGTATCAACATCACTTGATCATATCACACACGCTATTGTCATGATATGTCGTCATTCCCGAGGAGTAAGATATCATGTTTCTTTTCCTATAATTAAACATATATCTAGTTTAGGAAATTGTAGAATTAAATAATATTTTTAGGGGTTTCCCATGAACAAAGATAAAAAGTATTCTACGTGGTTATTTAGTGTAGGGCTAATATAACCGTGTTAGCAAATATCATCCAAAAGTGTTCAGCCATCTAACTACTAAACATTCAATTTTAATGGTCAAATTAATTTTTATTAGTTGGATATTATATGTATTAAGAATCCAATTCCTCATCTCACCCTTCAACCGAAACACAGATTACTTTACAGCATGACGGCTCAAATTAGTGGGACAGAGCATAGAATTTGTAAAAAGTAATTTCAAACAAATTACTTTTTACACAAATTTCTGTTTACAAAATCTACACTAAGTTGAGTCATATTTGTATTAGTAAGTACAAATATATCTTAAAAAGAACGCGAGTTTCAGGGAAATAAGTACCTATCTACTAGAAACTTAACCTCTGGCATGCGGCAAATAAATAACAGAATCTGTCTGCACGAACGAAAAACACATTGTCTCTTCACAGACATCTTTCTTCTTAAATCTGCATACAAATTCGTGAGATCGCGCACAAATTCACCCAGTCATTTAAAAGCCATTCCGTTGCTTGCGAAAATACTGTTTTTTTGCCTATAAATATATCTCGGGGCGACGTTTGGTGACGTACAGTGACATCTAGCGTCTAGTGGCAACGATTGTATAATTAGTCATCCATTGTACGATAGATGGCGGTACGTGTCTTTCAAATGCTAGTTTCGAACTTTAAATTTTGGGTAGTTGTTACAAAATGTAAATTTTCTTGAATTTCTTATAGTTTATAAACATTCTTTATAGCGTATATAACGTGTAATAATTATTTTAATTTGTTACTATTAGTTCATATCGCGATATTGTAATTACACTTCAATTTGTTTAGTTAGGTAGATACTAATATATGAAAAAAATTAAATAAAAAAGTTTATTTCTTTACAAAAAACAATTGTATTACAATATTACAGTGTTGGGATGACCTAGTAAGCATATGAATGTCTGTGTCAGATACCTACATCCCGCTCTTCCATATACATTACAATGTGTTTTTTTTAAGATTTGTTTAAGACATTAGATACTAAATATTACTAAAGTAAAGCTACTTATTAAAAGCCAAGTATAAAGAAATTATAATATATAGAATTTACATATGTTTGTATTATAATAGATATTACTTGAAAATTCTGAAATTACATATATCTGCGATCTTCTCAGAATTTTCTGCATTAATATATAACGATTACACTAGTAAAATATATATATTTTTATAAGACTTCCAACATATTCTATCTAACTATAGTCATATATATCTCTTTTTTCATTAATATCTATTACAATATTAATGAAAAAAGAGATGATTTATTCTTTCTTATAGAAATCTTATTAATATTATAAACGCGATAGTTTGTGAGTATCAATGGATGTTTGTTACTCTTTCACGCAAAAACTACTGAACGGATATTGATAAAACTTCACAGTAATATAGCTTATGTATCAGAATAATACATTAGCAATAATTTAAAAAGATATTATGCATATTGGGCGAAATATAACGATAAATGTCAGGTAGGTGTGATGCAGATGAAGTTGCGCAGGTCGGCTAGCAGGTATATAATAAAATACAAGATTCATATGAAGGAACGTTCACAAGGACTCAAGGATGATAAGTATATCAATTAGTAAGTAGCGGTAGTACTAGCGGCTTTTGTACTGATTGCCGCATGCATCCTCATGTAAAGTGCGAATACTGTAACTACCATATAGTAATTTTTGTAGCTGTGACGTGGTCGAGTGGAATTAGTAGTCATGCTCACAAATATGACCAGACATGTGGCGTGGTGGGCCGGGTCATTGGGTTCCCTAAAATATGATGTGATCGAGTGCAGTGATGGCTGGCTCATCCGTCATACTCGTGAACGAGTGTTGCTTGTAGGGATTGGTCTGCTCTTACCACTACGACTGATTTAATCTTATTGCATATTTATATTTGATCCAAAAAATTAGTGCTGGTTGATAGTTTGTATTCACACGTTTCGACTTGTACATGTAAACTTACAAGGATTATTTAAAAGAGCAATGCACAAGTTTCTTGCTCGTTCTTCTTGTGATGAGACAGCTTTCCAAACGAGTGGTAGATAAAAAACAAATTGTTATGACTATTCAAAAGTGCTTAAATTAAGTTTATTTGAATAAATGATTTTCTATTCTATTCTAAATTAAATAATAGTTTAATCCACAAATGTTTTTACTTCTTAAACGAATTTTTAAGTACTCAATAATGTGATAATATATGTATTTATGATTTATCTGACGAGAAATGCTTTGAATAATGAAATAATTTTTAAGTAATTCTAAATTTAGCATGCGTAAAGAGGCAAAACACAATGGGACATTACATTTCAGAATCACAACTCATATAGACATAAATTTATCGCAAAACAAATTTGATTTCAATCTTCTTTAATATAAAAATTACGTGTCACTTTGTTTGTCCGCGATGGACTCCCTAAATATATACGATTGCAATTTGTATTGCACACTGTGTGCAATTTGATCCAACTTGAAAGATAGGATAGCTTACATCTCAATTTATAATCGCAATATTATTTCGTTACAAATTATTTGTCTCTTATTAGCCACAGCAACGCGTGGCCGGGTCTGCTAGTATTACTATACATATTATTTAAATGTATTTATATATAATAATTTCAGTTAGTGCAGCATCTTCATGAGTGTTTGTCTCCTTATTCGGTGTTACATTAAGTATTAATCTCTATCTAGTTGGTTGTTAAGTGAAATATTATAATTACAGTTGGCCTCTGCTCGATGCACAAAAGTTTCTACTGCTATCTGAACTTTATGAGGTTGTAAACATTTGGTTCGCACTTCGGGAATATAAAACGTGTTATTTTTAAGACAAATATTATATTTGTTAAAATAAAAATAATAATAATATCTAGTCAAAGAGTGTATGTATAAAATAAATAAATAAATAACTCTGGAAAATTTACAGAACAAATGGGTACTAGACAGCTAATAGATATAATTAGATATGTGTTTTTGTATATACATTTTTTTTTGTATATATATACATAGAAAACACACTGACCGATACAAACAATCATACATACAAATACAAATGTTTGTACTTAGCGAGGAATCGAAAACGCGACCATCGGAAGTAAAGCAGTGTGCTGCACTGCTAGACCACTGAGAGTGTTAGTAAATACGTGAAATATATTGTATATGAATGATTTATCTCCTTCAACTGAAAGAGCCTAAAAAGCATGCTGCTTGGTGGATACAATAGCTGAGACTGATGTACCAAAGCAGATTTTTTTACAAAGTAAAACATTATGAAGTAATGTTATTATTAACTAGCTACTCGCTCTGGCTTCGCACGGGTTTACATGTATTATACATATAAACCTTCCCCTTGAATCACTATATCTATTAATAAAAACCGCTTCAAAATCCGTTGCATAGTTTTGAAGATTTAAGCAAGCATAGGGAAGGACAGACAGCGACAGCGACTTTGTTTTATACTATATAAAGATAATATTAGCTACATGCAATAAAACCTTAAGTTGATAACTCCTGAATGATATCGCCTGTAACGAAATGCGCTTAAAACCAACCTCAAATTATCGGCGAGGTGCGATCTTTGTAACTTGCGCCTACCGAGAGCAATTAGACTTTTTGCCATAGATAATAACTTATGTACCCAACTGCAGCTTAATGATATGGAATAAAACTTTCTGAAAGCGTCCACTAACTTAGGCTTTCACGGTTTCTTAACTTAATTGCCTTGAAATAGAAATAAAAATAATCTATTTAAAGATTCATTTTTATTATTTTTGATACGATGTTGTTGGTCGAGACGATGTATATTACAGATGATTTTTTTTTTAAGCTTTTTAATTTTAGGTCCTTAGTTGTACAATTAGGTTATGTAAATACTAGTAATAAATTTAAATTAATATATTATAATAATATA